GAGAGAATAGGAATGAGATGTACTCAACAATGGAACACACCCAAAGCTGCACTGTCATCAACTAGGTCCTTCCTCCTAAAATCCTATCAAATCTCAATCAGCCCATGGAATTATGAACTCCATAGTGGGTTAATTTTTTATTTTGTTTGTTTATTTATTTATTTTTATTTGTATTTTATGTATATGAGTGTTGCGCTGACACGTATGTATCATGCAATTCTCACAGGAGACAGAGGATATTGGATCCCTTGGAATTGGAGTTACTGATAGTAGTTTGCTGCCATGAGGGTACTGGGATTCAAATCTAGGTCTTCTGCTAGAACATTCAGTGCTCTTAACTGCTGTGACATCTCTCCAGTCCCAAATGGATTGATTTTAATGAGGTCAAAGCACTCATGATTCATCACTTCTTAAAGGTCCCACTAAATATTTCTGCATTGGAGACCAAACCTTCAACAACATATGAGCCTTTAGGTGGCATTGCAGAGTGACATAATAAGAGCTATCTACATACAAAAAACCCATTGAAAAATTTCATCATAAATAATTCTACGAACAGTACCTTTTAGACATAATTGTGCTCTTCTTTTAGTATTGAAAGATTAATATTAAAACATTAAAACCTAAAACTTGTGGATTGGCACTGGAGTTCAAATCAATTTTTAAAAATTTTTATTGATTTTTTTTTTGTGTATTTCATACAGAACATCTCAAACAATCTTACTCATTTTTATACCCCTGTCCCCACTGGCACTCTCCTATAGCCCTCCTCCCAATTGGCACTGGAGTTCAAATCAATTTTTAAAAATTTTTATTGATTTTTTTTTGTGTATTTCATACAGAACATCTCAAACAATCTTACTCATTTTTATACCCCTGTCCCCACTGGCACTCTCCTATAGCCCTCCTCCCACCGGAGTCCATATGTTCTGTCATCCCTGCTCATATGATTCTAGGGCAATGGTATCAGCATACACAAGTCCCATGCAAACTCAGGCAAATCCAGTTTTTAAAAATAAAAACAGGTGTGTCTCCAGAAACTGATTCACTAAAGCTAGATTTGAAGATCTTGACTGCTTCTGTGCCATTTGAGTCATTTACTCAACTGGTGAGGAGTCAAGGAATATACTCAGGTGGCCTTTCATAAACACTGGGATTCTTCAAGTAGTTAAAATCCTGATTTAGTTATAATTGGAAATTAGTTAGTAGCTGATAGTAATTTGTACTAGGGTTCAATTTCTCAATTTAATTGAGAATGTGATAAGCAGTATGTGATACCATACATGCTGAAGGCTCTAGAACTAGAAATCCAGACATGCAGGCTACTGAAAATTGGCAATAGGGATTATCCATATATAGGGATGACAATTTTGATAACTAAAGTAAAATCAAATAAGGTATACAGAAAAATAAGGATATTAACATATGACTTTTCAAGCTATGATACACTATAATGTAACTAATTGCTGTAATGTATAGACTCAGAAATATTGCTTCCTGTCACCTACACACAAGAGACTGTGTTGGCACTGTGTAACTAACAGCAGAAATGCTAGGTAAACAGATTACACTACAAATGTAAAACTTCAGATATCAAAGTTTATTACCATTCCAAAAATTAATGTATAGAAGTAAGATTTCTCAATTGAACATATCTTAGTGAAATGTTAAGGCACACGACTGAGATGGCTAAACTAAGCACAGTTTATAAAAATTCTCATTGAATCCCAGTGTAAATATAAACATGCTGCACACTATTACTTTCCTCACTGATGTGACAGAATGTCTAACAAAAGCAAAAGTTGTTTTGGAATCAGAGCGAACATAAGACTCTCCTCTCACACAACTTCCTGCATAATCTCTCTCTCTCAATCTCTCTGTCTCTTTGTCTCTCTGACCCCACCCCCATACACACAGTGCTTGTCTTCATCCTTTGATAGCCTGTGCTACTCAGGTTCTCCCAACAAGAAGCCCATCCCTGGATATAGGCATTTCATTTCTCACCAGCACTGTAAGCATAAACAACCAAGTCTCTTCTTTGTAACTTACCCAGTCTATAGTACTGTGTTAGCAACAGAAAACAAACTAATTCTGTAACTAATAGTTTACACATAATATAAAAGGAATGATAGATTTCCGTATAAACAGGGTAACTTGGAAAGGTGAAAAACAAGGGAGAACCTATAAGCATGTCTGAAAGCTAAGTATGAGGATAAGAAAAGCAATCTTGGCACTGAAGCGATATTGTGGGTGCTGCTAAGTAGGTTGTAAGATCTTATACAGTAGATAGAAAAAAGGGAGGGCATGCTCACATTATAAAGTCCAAGGAAATTTTATATTGCATTCCACAATCACACCCACATGAGCAAAATATTGCAAATTACAAACTAGAGGTCGACTGTTTATGTTCAAACAATGTAGAAATATATCAGATATTCTTATAAACAAAATGCAAAATTAGAATCTTATGTGGGAATTTCACTAAAACAGAAAATCAAAAATAGATTTAGGACAAGTATAAGAACTTCTATGTGATGCAAATATCAATAAAAATTAAATTACACAGGTACTTGACTTGGAATAAAAATAATGTTATTTTCTTCATCAAAGTTGAAATAAAAAACCAAGGAAAGCAACCCAACTGGAAAAAAAGAGTTAGAGATTTGTAGTGGTCTCCGAAAAACAAAAGGAATACACTATATCCCATAGACTGTCTTGGCTTATCCTAAAGTTAGATGGAGTCAGATAAAGGAATTTGAAATGTGGCCAAAATTACTTCTTTTGTGTGTATAATGTAGGTGCCTATGCATGCACGTGTGCATAGGCCGGAGGTTTATGTCATGTGTAAGTCTAATTGCTCTAAACCTTCCTTAATTTTTAAAACAGTCTCTCACTGAACCTGGAGTTCATTTATTTGGCTAAGCTGGCTGCCCAGTGAGCTTTGAGGGTCCATCTCTCTGAAACCCCATAATGCTGGGGTTACAGATGTGAGGTCCCACATTGGGCCTTTCAACACACTCAGCTGTTTCCACACCACCAATTAGTGAGCTAATTTAATCCTTTCTGAAGTCATCAGATCCAGAATCTTTCTGTATATGTCCAAATTTTACAGAAGAACGAACCTAATTCTACCCCAGGAAAAGGCATCACAACAAGAGCTTTCTTTCAATTACCCATTCCTTCTTTGTTATATTTTGTTCATAACTGCTACATTTTTATTGTCTGAACAAATTGAGAAACTTGGTGACTTGACTCAAACATTGAGTATCTTGAAAAAGATTTTTCTATTTGAATGTTCCAAATTTTTTGCATGCTTATGCTGAAAAATGTATTGCGCTGAATTAGAGCACTTGGCTTGTCCCGTCTTGGATAGTCTCTTCTTGGCTGTTTATACCTTGAACTGTCAATGACCAGACATGATACAAATGTCAAACAAAAGCCAATCATGTTAACTCATCTCACATAGGCACACTATTGGCACAAAAGAGACAAGAATGTCAGCCAGACTCATTATGAATGATAGAAAATTCCAAAGCAGACACACATGCTAACTCCTTCAGTATTGTGGGATATGGTTCTATTAAATCTGGCCAAAGAAATACTGATATGAGGATAATGAGAGAAAAACATTTAAGACTAGGAAATAATGGATGAGTGGACTGCAACAGGTGGCATGATTACAGGAAGCCACATATGGTGTATCTTGGAGAGTATTCAGAAAGTGGGCACCGTTGTAGAGGCATTAAATCAGTGCTCATCTAATGATGGCTTCTGTATTGTCATAGAACAACCTAAGAACAAGTCCAGAAGGTACCTCACTATTATACTATCAACTTAGTTATTACACACTATACATAAAATAAACACCAAAAAGCATGCTACAGAATTAGTGAAATGTAAAATTGGGATGTCAGGAATTTATCAGCACATGACCGCTTCTATCAGCTTAAAATCATTACCCAGTGTGCCTTTACCGTCACTTCCCTCCCCTAGTACTTTGAACACGTTTCCCCCTGTCTTAGGGCAGTCATCATTTCTCATGAGAAATCTGCTGAGTTACTTTTCTTTGTTTCTGTTTCTCTAGATGATTTTAAGATTTTTCTCATTATAACAGGTTTTTAGTAACTTAATTCTTATATATTTTCTGGTTTCATTTACATTTAGTCTTCTTAGGATTTATGAAATCTTTTTGATACACAGGCTTATAGTTACATGATATTTAGAGAATAATTATGTAATAATTAATTTATTCAGATATGTTCTAGCCTTTTTTCCACTTTAATCCTATCTATTTCAAATCCTTACCAAGTAGGCTGTGCTGGCTGGCAAGCAAGCCCCAGAAATCTATTGTTTCTACCTCCCCAGCACTGGGATTACAAACCACCATGCCCAGATTTATCTACATGGGGTATGAGGTTTGAATTCAGGTCCTCTTGCTTGTAAAACAAGCACTTCACTGACTGAACTATCTCTTCTGTCTTCAACTTCCTCTTTTAAGAAAAACTTAACTCAATGGATATGTTAATTTTCCTAATTTGGTCATTGTCCAATGTATACAGGAATCAAACCACATTATATCTCATAAATACAGAAAATTATTATATTTCAATTCAAAGAGATTTTAAAAACCCAAAATATAAAATATCCAATTACAGTTCAAAAAGAAATAATTTAAGTAGCAGGCTATAGGATTTAACTGACTCACAGATTTCAGAAAATGTTTACTCAAGGCAAAATCTAAGTTAATATATTAAATTTGGCTTATCATCAATGGTAGGGGTCACAACTGTACTTTCAACTTTGCATTAATGTACACATATATGCAAGAAGTATTTAAGGCTAATAATAGTTTAGAACTACTTTTACAGTACTCTTCATGGTAATTTAAGATTTTTTAAAGTTAACTTTAACTTAATGATTTTTGCAGGAAAATTTTTATCACTGTGTATCTTCTAAAGTGAGAAAACAAGATGTTCAGTGGTGAAAAAATGCTTCTTTACCTCCAGTTTCTTTCTTGAAGAATTGGGTTTCCAGTGATACAGAGTTCACGGAGAGAATTACAATCACGAAACCAATGTATTGCACTTTCCAGATCTATACAAAAGAAACAAAGTCACGAACATTATTATATATAAAAATTTCACAAATATATGACTGAGTCCCCATTGCTGAGATAAAATAAAGTTTAACTATTTTCCCATAGAATTCTACATATTTTTTGAAGTCACATGCTCTACCCCAAGCTGTCCCTCCACAGGTATTTTGAGTAGAAACATAGACTAATGTAAAAACAAGTTCCCATTATTTAGCAACTACACAAACTTAGGTAAGTCATTTTTACGATCCACTTTCAGACTCTCTTGTTTGTGCATTAAAGAAGGAAAGTACTTGCTGGTTAAGATATGTTTTACTATATTTTGAATAAAACATTATGAAACAAAATGCAAAGTAACAGAATATAGATAAAATGGAATTTGCACATATATAGAATTACATAGATCTATTTTTTTGTTTTCATAATAAAAAGAGTAGGTAAATCTAGGTTTCTCTATAGAACAATGTATACAGACCTTCTTTCCCACAAAAAAAACTGATTACATACATAAACATGCCTACACACAAACACACATTAGAACATATGGCATACCTACTTCAAGTCTGAGTCTTAGAAAAGGAAACACAAAATGTACTTGTAATCAGTCTAGATCTCAGCGATTTTCTGTCTGGAGGAGTATTACCATTTCCTCAGCACGACAGTGAAGCCAAGCATAGAGTCTGCTTCACTGAACTGAAGTAGTAAACATTAGAAATGAAGTTGGAATTTGATGGAAAAAAAAATAAAAAGGTGGGTGCAGGCTGGATAGTCTTCAATATTTCACCATATGTCATTTGAAAAGAATTTGGTGTTTCATAAGCTGAAATAGGACTGAAAACCCTACCAGAGATTGCCTGCTCTATGGGTAAAAGCTAAAATCATTGATGCTAAATTTTATAAAAGAGTTTTCTGAAAGACATAAGAAGTGCAGCAGCAGCGCCGCCATGAGATCTGGCAGATCACCTCGGAGGCCAGCTAAAGCCCAGAAAAGATACACATGGCTTTGAAACCTGGCTCTGCAGAACAGGCATGCACACTGTTGAAAAATAAGGTGTCCTATGGTAAAAGAGAAGGAAACTAAGCCAGAGAACAAGGAAACTAACCTCCATTAATTTAACTACCAGTCATAATAAAGCTTAATCGCATACCTACTTTGTTATCTGGAAATTATACCTTTAAAATTTATCCAATTATAACAAACACGTAAGTATGTAAAATGCTTGCAGAAGACTGTAAGAATTTTACATTCAGCTAAACATTCAAAATATCAATTAAAAAGAGAATGGACATATAAATTTTCATATAAAGTATGTATGACATTATATCCCAAAGAGAGCAATGTACCAAATAAACAATATGGTGGAATATCATATGAATACTAAGCAAAGAAATCTGGTTGCAAAAAAGTTTGCCTCTATCAATAAAAATAAAAAATTAACTTATGTTGGAAAATTCAGAATGGAGTAGATGTTAAGAGGGAGCGGACTGTGAAACAAAATGTGAAAAACCATTCAACGGGATGAGTCAGCTCAATTCATGATGCTCTAACAAACTTCGAATGGCTGTCTAGAGCAGTTAAGAATCAAAAAGCTAGACAACATTTTTTTACTCATCTTATATTTGACACACATATATTCAAAACTACTCCTTACCATATTTCAAACAGAAACTCAAAAGCTTATTAGTTTAAAAAAATTAAATACTCTACCAAACTTACCAGAAAAACAATTGTTGCTGACATCTAGTTTTTCCAAAGACACAAAATGAAAAAGCGGTACAAATTTTGTCAAACTGTAAACAAAAACATAAGTTTCATTGGGAAAAATAATAGGAATATCCTTAACATAATTGATTTGAGGTACAATTCATTTATATAACACAATTATATAATTATATAAAATTATATATAACTACACAATACAATTAAAACACTTAGTAACAGTACTTATTAAAAACTTAGCAATTCTAAGAATCTAAGTAATCCTATTATGGAAAAATGCTATTCATTTCAAGGAGAACTTACCATGGAATATTATTATAATGGAAGATTTAAAATCATTTTAAAGAGAAATCACCATGGGATTGCCAATTTCAGACAATTGTGTTTGCTATTTAATTCAAAATGAGTAGCTATTTGGTTATATTGTTTATCTTTCTATAAATCCAGTTACACAGAAATTACATTATTTTTTTCCCTCCCTATCTCAAACACATGACCTATATCTTTAAGTTACAAACATTGTTGTTCTTGTTGTTTTGGTTAGGTTTGGTTTTTGTTTGTTTATTTTTTGGAACACATTCTCACTATTAACTGAGTCTGGCCTGGAACTTACTACGTAGACCAGGTTGGCCCTACACCCAGAGAGATCACCTGCCTCTGCCTCCTGAGTGCTGAGATTAAAGGTGTGAGCAACCACATCTGGCTCATTTTTCAATCACTTTTAAATAACTGATTAAATTCATTATTGTTATTTTGGCAAAAAATGCTTTGTTTACCAGATTGAATTATTATAATCATGAGTGTCCAAAGTTGATTTGAGCTTAATTTAGAAATGGAAATATGCTTTACATGCAAGCAGTAAATCCAAGGGGAATAATACTAAAAATAATATATAATAGCCTTAAATTTGGCAAAAATAAACTGGTTGAAATTAATATTCTCAGGGCTGGAGAGATGACTCAGCAATTAAGAGCACATGCAGCTAAACCACAGTCTGAATCCCAACATCCACACGGCAGCTAAAGGCCATCTGTAACTCCAGTTCCATGGGATCTGACACCTTCTTCAGTCTTCTGCAAGTACTACATGACACGAGTACACTTACATGCAGGCATAGAACTCATACATACAAAATAAAAACAAATAAAAAAATTAAATTAATATTTTCATCATTTATGCATATTAATGTAAACATGAATGCTCCACTTCTATTTTTGTTTTCATTTTCCAAGTTATAACTATTTAAGAATAATATTCAGTGGCCTGGTGAGATAGCTCAGCAGTTAAGACAATGACTGCTCTTGTAGAGGACCCAGTTTCTAATCTTAGCACCCACATGGTGGTTAACAACTGTCTAAAACTGCAGTTCCAGGGAATCCAATACCCTTTTCTAACATTTGAGGGCATTACATGACACGGTGTATCTACCTACATGCAGAGATTGCATTCATACACATAAAAAATTTAAAAAAGGAATAATAATCAAGAAACACAAATGATACTCTCTCTCTGTGTGTGTGTGTGTGTGTGTGTGTGTGTGTGTGTGTGTGCGTGTGTGTTAAAGTATTATTTTAAGGTCAGAAGCCACAAAGCACCACTTTGACTGAAAGCCTCATGGGGTCTGGCACAGACTAACCTTTGTATGCACCTTGACTCCTCCCTTGTACTACCCTGTTCTGCATTAGCAGAGAGAAAGAAGATACTACTGATGAAAAAACAGACAAAATAATGAAGCTAGAAGAAAATGCCTTTCAGTGTTGTCGATCCTACACACAATATACCCATTCATACTCCTCCTCCTGTACACTACCACTCCTTTAAATCTGCTCTGTTGGGGAGAATTGTGGAATCAAAAGCATTAAAAGAAAATATGAGAAAACACTGGTCTACAAACACTCGCTATATAGCATAGGAGTGAAATTGACTGAAATGTATCATGGATATTGTAGGAAGAGAAGAGGCAAAAAGAAAAGAAGGAATAAGCAAGAGCGAGAAGTTGAGGGAGAGGAGAGGGAGGTAGGACAGAATACAAACATTTTGGACACACAGTATTGGAGTTAGGGCTTAATACCATGAGTTTTCATGCCTTTGTTTTCAGAATCATTATTGCAGAATTATTCAAGTCAAAGTCCAAAAATATTTAACCAAATATTATTTGTGTGTAATTTTAATATAGTTTAGTATTAAATCTTGTCTTTACACTGAAAAGATTTTTAAAATTGATATCTAAAAATTGTTTCACCCTTTAGTATATATTTTCTCTTTTTTCCAGAATATTTCATGTTTTTTTCAAATGTATATCATGGCTGACATCTATTTGAAGACTTCAAAAGAAAATAATCAATGAAGCTATAGAATTCAAAATTCATAATTTTTTCTTAAAATCAATTTATATAAAAAATCTAGTTTGGTTAAATATTTTTTGCGATATTCAAATTTTATCTCGATTCAGGTAGCCATGCTTTTTAAAAACTATAATTTTAAAATTCTTTTTTCCTAAAATCTTAATCAAGAAAACTGGCCATTCATTCACCTTTATGACTATTCATTAGGGTGGTAGAAACTTGATCATATAATCCTTTTTTTCCCCCTCAAATCTCTACAATTTTTCCCTTTACTGACATTCTGTGTATATTTTTTCCAGGAAAATTCAAACCAGAAAGACAAAGGACATTAGTGAAAACCTAATACCACTTGACCTTGTCACATTAGCCTTGGGCATTAAAAAGATATAAATTTCAAAGACGACAAAAAGCAAAAGATTTGTACATGGAGCACCCAATGGATAAGTTTCCACTCTCTGCTCCCACTTAGGATCTCACTGGAAGGAGAAAAGCTTATGTAGTCAGAGAGTCTTCTAGTTAGAACTCCTCTGAGTCAAACTTAAAACAGTCACATGTCCTAATGAAAATTTAAAACAGAAGACAGGATGGAACAAGTATCCCAAACAATATGCACTAGGCATCATTCTTTATGTGCATTCCATTTGTTGGGGAAGAAACCATGTGGATTTATAATTTCTTCCTTGTGATGAAAATAGTTACCAAAAAATAAGAGACATATACAATGTTAAAACATCCTAACTACACATCCCAATAAATATATGCCTATATGCATTGTAATATATACAGTTTTGAAATTCACATTTTTTTAACGGACTCAACGTTTTTTATTTGGACCTCAGACTTTGGTAAACAGATAAGGTAGACAATAGCCCTATTACACATGAGTTGATGTTAAGGCTCAGACAATACAAAAAGAACTCCTCAACGTCAACTGACTGGCAATTCAAACTTGCTGACTTTGAGTTTTATTTACCAGATATGGCTTTGCAAACATTCAGTGCACAGACAAAACTACAATGTAAGATGGATTACATTGCACATTGTTAGAGTACTAAGTTTGTTGAGAAAAAAATAAGCATATTATTTTTATATTATGTTAGGGAATAATTTCATTTCCTTATCTGTCCATTGAAGCATTCCTGAGCACCTTGAGATCTTTGGCTCCAGAAACAAGAGAAGATGACATATGCAAAGAGTTTCAGAAAAGAAGACTATATTTAAATATAAGTGACAATATTACTAAAACCTTCAAACCAGTATATGTAATTATATATAGTTTATATAATTGCTGTGTATTCATTTTTAGATAATATTTTGTTTAATACAGACATTGTCATACAAGTATATAATGTATATTGGCCATTTTCCCCACATAATGCCACTCTCTTCCTTCCCCAAAGATACTTGTCACCTCAGTTCCCCCACGTAGTTTTGCTTCTATTTTCTTGTTATATATACACACAGAATTTTATGTATTATATAAAAAAAATTGAGAGAAATTGTGATAACTGTCTTTTTTACTCTGAATTACATTTTGTATAAATAAGTTAACAAACTAAAATTTATCTCTGAATTTTTTTTAAGTTTAGAACTACTAATTATCCACTAATTATATACCACTCATTATCATAGCCCTCTAAAATAACTAATCACACTTACATATTCAAATGCTACCTCTAAGTAAACAAAATTATAAGAATTCTTTTGGAGGGATTATTCCAAGGATCATTATTAAATATAAAAAACATAATGATCTAGTTTGAATAATTCTCTTTGTAACAAACTGATAGGCATATATCTTAATAGAATGATGACAAAAAAGCTTGTCATCCAGTACTGATTTTAATTTTTAGAAATATGAATGTTTCAGGGCTGGAGAATGGCTCAGCAGTTAAGAGCACTGGCTGTTCTTGCAGAAGAACTGAATTCAAATCCCAGAACCCACATGGCAGCTAACAATCATCTGTAACTCTAGTTCCAAGGGATCTGATGTCCTCTACTGTCCTCCCACAGCACTGTATGCCATGGGTGCCCTTACATATATGCAGGCACAACACTCATACACATAAAATAAAAGTAAATTTTAAAAAAATCTAAAAAGAAATATGAACATTTCATAGTAGGCTTAAGATTATTTCAGAATTTTCTTCATTTAAATATTTTCTAGTATCATTAATGTTGTTTGAGAACAACTTCTATGAAATGTATGGATTAGGCCAACTCCTGAGTGGTTTACTACATATGCTCAGGACATAAGGGAGTATTTTATCTGGAGATTGTGTTTCATAAACTGTAAAATGAAAAAGATAGACTATGCTTCTGTAGGTCCAAGTCACTTACATGAATTCCTTTGAAGGAGCTACCTTGTGTCATTTTAGGTGCAAGTCAACTTTTGGGATTTAGTTCTGCTTAAAGAAATTTATGGTGATTTAAAAAATGATTCAGTTTCAAGTTCTCCAAGAATGATAGCTGGAAGTTAAATGCTCAAAATATTATCACTACTATGGTAAAAACTAATAGCTTTATAAGATTTGTAAAAAGACACATACATACATACATACATACATACATACATACATACACAAACACATGCACACATACGCATACATGTATTTGTCCCTTTTCAGTTGTCTTATAAGCCCCATATAACTCAAAGAAGAGATTTCTTGTTAAAGATGGCTCCTTCATCTGACTTCAGGTGCCCATGATAAATGAACTCATCACATTAGAGTGATCAGATCTTCATGAACTATTAAGAATAGGAAGAAAGAACACATATTGTGCTGATATTTTGACTTGAGACAGAAATTCTGTCCATAGATCCAGATATCTGGTGGTCTCAAATGTATCTTTTGGTGCAGGTACCCATTTCACTTTAATGTTAAGATATTTCAAGTGTTAATTTATATCCCCAAGGACTTCAAATTTAAAGCTATCTTAATGGATACAAAAAGACAGACATGTTGAGGGCAGATTAAACATCATTCTTTCAGGACTTAATAAGTACCATTTGAGAAAATGAGACATCCTTCTGAATTAAATTAACTATTCCTGTATTCTTGAAAGACTCTTTCTCTATAAACATAAACAAACCTTCCCCGAGAGAATTTTATAAGTACAGTTTTGAGAGGAAACAAAATGAGGAGGATAAAGTAACAAAATTTTATTAGAAATCTAGGGTAAGTTATCACTTTAGACTTTTTAAATTATATGTACTTCTTTTTGTTCCTTATGAACTAGTTTATGTTCATGAATCCCTAGTTAATTGAAGAAAACCCAATTTTTCTAATTATTTATGACCATCACATACTAATTTTGAGGAACTGTTGCCTGTATTTATTGCTTAATAAAATATGTTTTCACCTGTTTTGAGAGATTGTAAGATCTTGTAGTAAGGGCAGCCAACATGAAGAAAGTTCTTCCACAGTAGAAATGCTGTTATCATCCAGATGCAGTTTTCTTAGTAGAACATGATTCTTTAAGGATGGGGGCTATATTAAAATACACTTCATCAGCTGATATTAAGCAAAATATATATTCTAGTAGACACTAAGTCATAACTCAAAATATTATGATAATTTCAGTATGAATAAAACTTCAACTAATTAACTTTATTTTAATAGACTTTATAAAATAAATGTAATGACAAGATGCAATTTTATTTCCATAAGAGATCATTTTGATCCTACTTATGCACATAAACAAAACAATATCATGATGTGTTACAGTTTAATATTCTGAGAATCTTGTGTGAAATCAGATCTTTAAGACATTATAAGTATGTTGGCCATTTCTTAAATGGAACACATAGAATAATGAAATGGGGCTCATGAGATGAAGGAAAAGATTAAGAGGGAACAGTAGAATGAATGAACACAAAAGTGAAAGGGGAGAGATTGGGGGTAGAAAGGTTTAAACAAGAAGTGGGACAGGGAAATGGGCAAGAGGGCCAGGGGAACAATGGAACGCTGTGTAGGTACATAAATCTGTTCCCAGAAGCCATAGATTATTAAGTGAAAGTCTCAGTTCCAGAAAGGGCTCCTCCCAACACATTATTGGCCCTTAAAGAATACAGACAATTGTCACTACTGTTGGTCTTCCTCCAGAACTAGTTGGTACGACCCTATTGCTGAGGTAAACACATGACTTGGTTACAATTCATAGAGAAATAAAATTGCCACTGGGTTAGAAGTTTCTTTGCTGCTTAGCCTTGATAACACTAGAAAGTGCTCTGCAGAAAATGTACCATCAATTGCCTTACTCATTTCTGGACCCTGTGTATAATAACTGAACAGCCAGATAAGATGAACCTAGAGGTTTAATAGTGGCAATAGTCTGTTCTTAGAGGTAACCAACCACTTTTGGATTGAAATTGATGACTGCTCTGCATGATGTAATTCACATCTGATATTGTAAACCTGGTGGAACTCCCCATGGCTGGGGAGGTTACGGGTCCTAGTGGGGAAACTATGGCTGTTGTACTAGAAATAAACATGATGTTCTTGTGAAATTGCCTTCTAAATAAGTTTATCCCAAATATGATTGTCTGCATCAGAGAAGCTTCTTTTTACAGTGGTCAGTGGTGACTGCAGAGATGCCTAACTGGTCAAAGTACAAGGAATAAACTACTATTGAATGGCCAGTCATGAATGAGACACCTATAACACTGTTGCTAAGGCTCAGAAGGATCAGAGAGCATGTAGGGACTGGAAGAAATGCGGTGGAACAGTGTGGAACATTGTCTTGAGGGCATGATATGACAGTTACATTCTTGAAGTTGATCCACAGCTGATTATCTGTACAAAATCTCCAAAAGATTTGGCCTCTCAACACCCTATCATGAAAGGGAAGAAGATCATGGATTCCCACCCCTCCCTGAAGATTTATATGCAGTTAATGGTAGGTGCATATCCTTCTGTAAACAATCTCCCATGCATGCAGCTTCTGTTAATAACCCTATCCTCATGGAAACACACACTACACATGACATGAAAATAAAAGGGGGCCTAGTTGAAAATGGGGTCAGTGGGAATGGAACGGGACAGAGGGTAATGGGGTGTGTGAATGTGATTGAAAAACATTATGTATATGTATGGAAATATCACAGTAAAACCCATTATTATTAATAGCTTGTATATGCTAATGAAACATTAAAAGAAAAGGGTAAATTGGAAATAAAATACAAATATAAATTGATTTGAAAATGTGTGAGTGGTATTTCTATCAAAGAAAAATGTTGCAAAAATCACAAAACTCAAATAATTGAAACTCATTACCTCTCTTAGATAATTTCCCTGCAACTTCACTATTTGGAGCAATCCACAGTTTCCAATGTCCTCAACATCAGTAAGATGGTTGTGTGAGCAATCTAGGTATATTATGGTAGGTGCTTCAGAAAGGCCTTTTGTACTAATTAACTGATTATGGTCCACAGTTAATTGTTGAAGATATTTCAAAGATTCCAAACCACCTAGAAGAAAAGTTGTCTGATATCACATGTGCCATACATTCTTCCCAATATGTATTATCAATTAAACTGGCATTTTTTGATAGATTCACATCTACATCTGTATCTGTTTGTTTGTTTTCATACAGTTCCACTCTATTGGTTCTGGATGTCCTAAAACTGTGGCACAGACCAAGTTAGCCTTGATACCTTGAACCTCCTACTTCACCCTCCCAGTACCAGGAATATAGACATGCAAATACTGTGCCTAACCTTGGGGACATTTTGTTGAATGACATAGACATGTATCAGTTGAAAACTAAGACTTAAATGCTTCCACTAGGCAATGAATATTTTCAAACAAAGGAACAAGGACGACTGCTAATATCAACTAGAATTTTCTTAAAACACACTTGGAGTGGCAGCTATATTTATGAACATTTTAGGTTACAGGGACAAGTAAAGATTTAACAAAATAAGCTGAAAGGAGCAGCAGAGAAAATAGACAAGAGCAGAGAGAGGCAGTGAGTGAAAGGCGAGAGGAACTACAGGATGAGCACAACAAATCAGAGTGCGAACAGAGTGGCATATTCTTTCAAATCATAAAAGGTATGTTTAGTCACACTAAATTATATACAATGGACACTATCAGACAGAGTTGGCATGATGAATCAGCTAGAACGTTCCATGCTGGAGACATTAACAGTTTCATCAGGATGAAAACCCAGAGTATAGTGGAAGTGGGACAAATGTGTGTAACAATTTGGATTTTTAATAGTGGGGAGAAGTTTCTTAAATGGCCTACAAGCCTCTCTGCAATTTGTCTTCCACTATCTCTCTGAACTCATTCTCTAACATGGTCCCCCTGCCTCAATATGTTCTGATGTGCGAGGCAACAACCTCGATCTTACACTTGCCAACAACGCTGCCAAATTTTAAAACACGCCTGAAGTTAAATAAATAGCAGAGAAGAACTTTTAGTTTGTTTAAAAATTTGTCAAAAACATTTTAGTATAGTGGATTAAATCATATTCCAAGCCTCAAAACATTGAAAGATCTCTGACTTTACCTGCCTACTTCCACGAGTCCATAATATATTTAATACACAATAATAAACTAATATATAAAATATTCATCAATGCATTATTGAAATGGAAAATATGAAAACAAGTTACATGACCATGAATAATGAAAGAGTTAAATAAATTAAGGAATGTCTCTAAAATTAGTATGTATAATTTTTCAACATGCATAAAAATATCAGCATACAATGTGTGTGTGTGTGTGTCTGTGTGTGTCTGTGTGTGTGTGTGTGTGTGTGTGTGTCTGTGTGTGTATGACAGGGTCTCATGTAGCCCAAGCTGCTCTTGAACTCTGTATGTAGCTGAGGATGACTTTGAAATTCTTATCCTCCTGCCTCCACATGAGTGCTGGAATTACAGGCATGCACTACCACATTAGGTTCCATGTGGTGCTGGGGATGGAACCCAATGTTTCCTGTATGCTAGGCAAGCACTCTACCAACTAATCTGCATCCCAGGTCCAAAGAAATATATTTTTAAAAAGAACCAGCCCGGGGCTGGAGAGATGGCACAGTGGTTCAGAGCAATGGCTGCTTTTGCAGAACACCTGAGTTTGGTTCCCAGCACCCAGCTAACAACTATCTGCAATTCCAGTTCCAAGGGATCTGATGCCCTCTTCTGATCTCCATGGGCATTGCACGACATGGGTGCACTTACATGCTTGCAAGCAATACACTCACATAAAATAAAAATACAATATTAAAAAGAGAAACAAACCAAGTATTGAGGAGAACTGTTACATTGTCCTGGTTTTTGAACTAAGTGACAGAAAAACTTAAGCTTCTCTTTATTAAATGTGCTTTTGGTATTGCTAGTGTTTTGTTGTTGTTGTTTTGTTTTGTGGGACACTTACGGAAAGGATTGCATACATCTAGATGATAATACCTAAAAGAAATGAGCAAAATACCAGAACTCAAATGGTGTGATATGTATTGGCAAACCTATAATGAAGAAGGAGGGGGCACACTGGAAACAGTAGATTTTCACTGTCTACTTATAACCAATGACAAAAAGAACATGAAATCATATAAAACGTGTGTGGAGCTGAGATATGCCAACAATCAGGCAAGTAAGCGGGGAAGTCAGTCTTTCAGCCACAGTATGACCTAAGATGACCTCAGTAATGGTTGGATGTCTTAACTGTAACTCTAGGAGGAAAGAGCACTTCAACTCTGAGCTAGAACCACTCATCTAAGCCATTTCCAGTGTTCTGACATTTAGATAATGTGAGACAGTGTTTGTTGTTGTAAATTGCAGTGTTTTAGAATAATTTCCTTCATAGTAACATGTAATTAATACAATAAAAGTTCTCTTCTGAAGAAAGCAGAAATCAAGAAATATGTAATTATGTTAGAAATGTAATAAATGACCAAATTAACACCATTGCAGAACAAAATACATAATTTTAAAAATAGAATTGCATAGAATCTAGAGCTTGAAATCAAACTACCCACAGAAAAGTCAATTACAAAGAAATATGTGAAGTTAGAAGAAAAGTCACACACTAAACTAATTCAATAATAATAAACAATGACAAATACATGCAAAATACGGACCATCTATGACTGTCACAATAGAACAAAGTCAAAAAAGTTTCAAAGGACACCATCCAAGAAGAAACTTTTGTAAACAGGGATAATGTTGTCTTTCTTGATTAAGCAACTGACTGAGGAAAACATTATTCCACTATCTAGGCAGAAATAAGAGATGTGGAGAGAAAAATCCAGCTAGCCTTTCTGACATGAAACAGTACCACCAGATTTAAATTCAAATATATGATTACATTTAATTATTCATTATACTTAATTATTGGGAAAGAATGCATATAAATCACAGAGCTTGTTAGCTAGCTTGATAATATATGAAACAACAGCAAAAAATAGATGACATAACAAATATATCAAAAACATAACTTATGGGGCTGGAGAGATGGCTCAGTGGTTAAGAACACTGACTGTTCTTGCAGAAGACCCGGGTTCGAATCCCAGCACCCACATAGCAGCTAACAATTGTCTATAACCCCAGTTCCAGGGGATCCAACAGCCTCTTTGGTCCTCTGTGGGCACTGCACGACACGGGTGCACTTACCTACATGCAAGTATAACACTTCATACACATAAATTAAAAATAATAAAACATTTAGAAAACATAACTTATATTTCAGATGAACATACATCAGGCACATTCTTTTGCTCTCAGACTGGGGTTTGCCTCATTGGTATTTCATGTTTACAGATTCATCATGAGCCAGGGTCCCTGGGTTTCAGGTTGCAGAGGACAGATCATGGGTTTTTTTCAGCTTCAATGGACATAAATAAGCAAGAAAGACATGGCTGAAGACTTCTAATAAAAAAATGGCTCCCTAGAGGTACTTACTGGGCATGCTTCCTTACAACAAGGAAGGGTCAAATTCAAAGATAAATGGGCTGGAGATGCAGCTCAGCCGTTAATAGTCCTTGCTTCTCCTAAAGAAGATCAGAGTTTGGTTCCCAGAACACAGAACTCAAGCAGTTCACACAACCTCCTGTAAACCTCCAGTTCCATGGGATATGATGCCATTTTATGGCCTTTGAGGCACCTACATGCATGTACACACACACACACACACACACAATTTAAATAAATAAAAATAAATCTTTCTGCTCTTGAGTAAGAATATTTGGGGGCGACCCTTAGGGATCAGTGAAGATGAAACAGAACAATGTATGGAACTAAAGGATTCAGGAAGGCCTTGTACAGAGGAAATAAAGTGACTTCTTGACCACCCCATATATGAGTCCAACCTAATTTGAGAGTAGAACTTCCCATAATAGTAAAAATATTGCTGCTGTACAATCTTATTTTCTTTTGATGAATATTTTTATTGTGATTCTGTGCATTTCATACAGTAAATCTTAGTTATATTTAAACCCCCTCCACTATCTACACCCTTTATCACCTCCCACTGGATTTCATGGTTTCTGTCATATATGTTAAAGCCTATCTGGTCAAGCTTTTGTACCCAGATGTCCAGTCTTATCCTGAGAATAAACCCTGTCCAAGCCACTGAGTGCAATGCCTTCCCCACAAACCCTACTACATGTACCCTGCACAAAGTCATGAATTATACGTGAAGAAACTCTAAGAAGACACCATTATGCCCTGTTGGAACAAAGTCAGAACAACCTACCAAACCGACACCCTGAGACATATCGTCAGGAGAAATTATTTTGTTATAAAAATTGTTAAAATACATCCACCAGAAGTACCATATCAACACAGAAACCCCAGACATGGAATGAGAAGGCACTGCGATACCTCCAGAAGAAACAAAGCCATGTAGCAAAAGAGACCAAAGGAAATGACAGAATTCCAGAAAAACTCCAAATAATGACTCTGGGGTACTTTGATGTGATAAAAGATACTGTAGATAGAAAAACTCAATGAAATCAAGAAATTAATTCATGATGTGAATGAGGAGTTCTAGAAAGTGAAATTGTAAAGAAAAATAAATGGAAATCTTGGAGCTAACAAAATGCAATAAACAAATAAAATAAATTAAAGGGAAAGAAAGCAAAAGCACATGAGATATGAATATTTCTCCAAAGAAATAATACAATTAGCCATCATCTGTCCAATAAAGTCCTTAGAATCTGTAGTCATTAAGCGCATATCAAAACCAAAATAATGCAGCATCTTATCCCAGATGAAATTACTGTTAAAAAACTTAAGACTGTCTTACAAGTGCTGATGAGAGTAAGATGAGCAGGGGACTCTACAGTGTTGGTATGAATGCAAACTAGTATGGTAATCAAATTAATGAGAACAGTGTAGAGAGTCCTGAAAAGACTAAAAATAGAGCAATCACATGGCTCAGTTATTCTCTTCTGGTATATATATACAAAAGAAATGAGAGCAATATATGAAAAAATATGTGTGCTCTCATGGTTAGTGAAGCACTAT